CTCCCCACAAACTGCCACTGGGTCTATCAGGTGGAAATCTCCAGGGTGGGGCATCCTGAGAGGTTGCAGTCACTCACACCACCACCCTCCAGAATCCCAGGCTGACGCAGGGCCTCACATCCCCCCAACCAGGCCTGAGGTGGAGCTGAGAGCCCAGCAGGCCAGTGAGGCTTGCTGCCCCTGGCTGAGGGGGTGGGAGGAGGTAGGGAGGCTACAGGTCCCCATCTCCAATCCCCATACCCCTCTGTGCCAGAGCCCAGGGTCACCTCTGTGCCAAAGAGCTCCCTGTTCTGTGATGGGTCAATGACTCAGCTCTGCCTTGGCGACACGGCCTTGCAGTCCCAGGGAAGGAAGACAGGTAGGGTGAACAGGGCGTACTAGGCTCCCAACAGGTCTCGTGGTTTCGGCCCTTCAAGGCCCAACTGAACCCAGTCAGTGCTCAGGAGCCCAGGAACAGCCCACCTAACCAATCAGCCTGAACCCATACTGGCCACTGGCTGGCCTAGCTCCCTGTGTGGCCTTGCTCCAACCCTGGAACCGGGGAGTCAACATGCCTACGCCCATGATACAGGGGCTGGAGACTCCTGCAGGACAGACACTGTTGTGATGGTGGGGAATCCACAGACCAGTGGAGAAGGGTTCCCGGTTGGAATTCCAGGCCTGAGGACCCCAGAGCACAGGCAGTGTCCTTCTCCATCTCCCTGCCCCCAGGCCCCAGGCCCTGACCCTTCTGGCCCAAGACCTTGGCCCAAACCAAGGGCCATCTGTCTATATAGAACCAAATTAACCAGAGATATGCTGTCCTCTCCAACCCCTGGAACAGAGGGTGAGTCTGAGGGGGCTCTGCATGCCCACCACCCCACCATGGGACCCAGCCCCCCCAGGCATCAGTATCAAAGCACGTGCACCCAGGCCTGCCCCACAGTGCCGGAGGCCCCTGGGAGACAGTGCCGATGGAAGTGCCCATTGACCCACAAACCGCAGGGCCACAGGAAGGGGACTTGAGGTGGGGATGGACACAGGGGGATAGGCTTTACTGCCCAGGCCTCAGAGGAGTGATAGTCCAGATGGTCAGCACAGGGTGGGGCAGAGAGGGGTTGGCAAGGGCAGGCAGAGCCTCACCAGGGGCTTTCCCAGGCTGGAGCAAGGTCACGTGCACATGACACAGACATGGCCTTCTCTGAGGACCAGAACTTGCCTGGGGGACAATTAAGAGTGAAGCTGAGGGGAGTCTGAGGGGTCATCCAACCAAACCTCAAAACCCCCTCCTCCCTGAATTTGGACTGTTATCACAGACAAGTTCCTGAGATCCAACTGATTTCCACCATTCCTGAGCTAAGAGGGCCTGTGACCTTGATGGAGGCCACTGTGCCTAGTTGCTTCCTCACTACATCCCTCCTAGGGATCCTGGGACCCTCATCACTGAGGTGCTGCTGGTGGGAGATGGGGGAGGCAGGGGTCTCTGCCTGGGGCTAAGGACCTTGCTCCTTGGGTCCAGAGACACCCTGGGGACCCTGAAGATCAGACCTTGTCCAGCCCCTCACTGATCTAGGAAGTCACTCAGGGTCATAGCATGACCCCTCCTGTGAACTCCTGCCTCACCAAGCCCCCAGTGATATGTGTCTCACACCTATATGACCCCCCATGGACATCCACATGCATGCTAGAGTCTGAGCTCACACGTGTGTGTGCTCATACCCAGAGAGCAGGGATCCAGCAGAAAGGGCAGGAAGGGCCCAGTTCCTGTCACACTTCCCATTTTCCCTCCCCATGGAGGCAGGAAGCTGGTTTGACCTGCAGCTGCCTAGGCTCTCACGTCCCTACCAGGGAGCTTGTCCCCTAAACCTGGCCCTTAAGGGGGTCTGGAGGAAAGATGAGCCCATCTAGAGAGGGCTGGTCCTTGTAGTTAGCGTCAAGGGACCAAGACTAGAGCAGAGGAGACTAGACCCTGCCCTGAGGGGTCCTAGGGAAGCAAGAGTTACCCCGCACCTGGCAGAACACAAATCCAGTGGCCAGAAGGGAGCCTGGAGCAGGGCAAGGCGTCCAGGGGAGGGAGAGTGGGAGGGTCTGGCTTTGTCCTGACACCTGCTGCCCATTCTAGGCTCCAACCACTGCCACCCACCACCTGCAGGGCATATTCTGTTCCTTATGGTTAGGGTACCTCTGACCTCCACCATGGCACCTCCCACCCCCATTAGAAAGATTCAACCGCCTGGGTGAGGCCCGGCCTCGTGGGCCTGGGACCCCGGGGGCATCAGGCCCTGGTTGTGGAGAGAGGTCTGTGCCAGGAGGTCAGGCCTGGGGGCATGTCTCGGCGCTACCCGTCGGTGCCCATCGGGCCCGAAGCATATCTCCAGGGGTCGCGGAGTCCAGCCACCTAAAGGCCCTGGCTCACCTGCGCGAGGTCATGTCCGCTCCGCGCTGGGCGCTTGGCGGGTCCAGGCGGCCGCGCCCTCGGGCCACTTCGAGAAGGCCCCGCCCCCTAGGGCCCCGCCCACTCAGGGCCCCGCCCACCCAGAGCCTTGTCCGGGAGCTTCCTTAAAGGAGCCGTGTCCACACGTCTCACCACCGCGTAGGAGAAGTTGCGATAAAAACAACAGTTTTCGAGGGCGCCAAACTTCAGAACCAAGAGATTCGCGCGGGCGTCCCGGGCTCGGAGGGCGAGCCTGGCCGGCCGCCTCCGCACAGCGGCGCCTAGATGTGATAAACGGCACATCAGTCCCACCGCGCGCTGTCCCAGAGCCCGCAGGCCTTTCCGCATTGCCTCCTTAATGGGAGGAGGGCGGTGAGGGGCTGCGGTCCCTTCACGGGGAGGTGGGGGAATTCGGAGCTAGAGGAGGAGACCCCTGGGGGACGGAGGTGGGAGGACGTGTTGCCGTTGCAATGCGATGACCAGGTAACCACCTCTTACTTTTCTACCTTGGGGGCTTCCCTCTTTTCCTCCCCACCTCGGCCACCCACACTAGACAGTGCCCTCCCTTCCTAAGTGATGCTGACCCCTCTTCACCTTTGCTCCTGCTACAGCTGCCCCCCATCTGCTTGTTTCCTGTCCCCCACTGGCCAAACCACCTTTCATAAGCCAGTTTCTGGGGAGCAGCACCCTAATTCATCTGGGCTCTCAACCTTGAGATCCCTGGTTAGGAACTTCAGGGCCCTCTCCCGTCCAACTCCTCTCTACCTTTCCAGGAGTGGTACACCAAGGCATGGAAACTTCTCCTGAAGTTCCAACCCTGGAGCCCAGATCCCCACCCACCGCTGTGGAGAGCGGGTCAGTGCTGACTGACTGCCCTGCTTCCTTCCTCTCCCACTCACCTGGGTCACCTCACTAGCCACCTGCCGGTCCTGAGCCTCAGCGGCAATTGCCCTGAGAGCCCCCTCCTTCTGGAACCATCAACTCCCAGACACTCCTGGCCCTCCTGGCCCCACTGACCCACCTTCTCCGTGACCTCCCAGTGTGAGAGCCTCTTCTCCCCTCACTTGACTCCCAGAGCAGCCCACTTGCTGGGCTCCCTTATGTTCAGCGTCTCCTCCGCCTGGTACTACATGGCTTCCTGGTCTCTGGTGAGTTGGCTCTCAGCTCCTCAAGCCCAGCCCCTCCAGATGCATTAGGGTGGTACACCCAGGTGCTCCAGTGCCTTCATCAGGGCCCCACCGCCCAGCCCCGCAGAGGCCTATCCACTCTGCTCCAAAATCCTCTCTTCTCTTTGTTAGTACTTGGGCCCCAGCACTCTGTCCTACACAGCAGGACATCTCATGAAGTCTGACCAACTCTGGCTCAAACCCCTCCAGGAGCTCCCTGCAGCTCTTCAGACAGATCCCCAGCCTAGCTGGGTCCCACAGGATCCGTCCTGCCCACCTTTGCCTGCTCCTACCGGGCCTCCAGCTGTTTGGGCTGGGCCTGCACTTCCTCTTTCTGCTCAGAGCACCTTCCAGCCGCAGGGCACTTGCTTGGATGTAGATACCTCCTGCCCCACCGCAGGTCTTCACACCCTTGCTCCAGCAACTTGCTTACCCTTGCTTACCCTCAGGTCTCGGTCGAGTACCAGGTATTCCTGGAGCCTCAGGCTAGTCCTCCTGCTTGTACCATGCATCATCACCTGTTTATCTCTCCTTAGCACCTTGGCGTTTAGGGCCACGCTCCTCCCCCATCCACAGCACCTGACAGCTGACAGCATCCATTCCACACACATCGCCTGAACAAGTTAAAGAATAATGGATGAAAATGTGAATGCCCATGGGCTAACAGGTCACCCAGGTGCTGAGTGTATGGGTATTTTTGTTTTCTTATATTCATTTTCTGCCTTTTTTCTATTAACAAAAGAAACGAAAAAAAGAACAGTTATCCTTTATAAAAGTCAGGAGTTCCAGGGAGGAGGCCACTCACTCTCCCTTCTTCCCCTGTTCCTTGTTAGAGGCTCACAGCTGCTGTGGGGCTGGTCGGTCACAGCTCCTTGGGGCCAGCCCATCTCAGGGCTTCCTGCTGCTGGTCTCCCAGCAGAGCCAACAGTCGCCCTCCTACCTGGGCCAATGAAAAAGGCTGCCCGCCCCACTTACCCTGGCTGCACCCCCAGGCCCTCCTATCCCCCACCTACCCTGCCCCCAAACCCCCTGCCCTTACTACAATCTTCCCACTCTCCTCACAGCCCCCCTTCCCATCCTGTGCTCATGTACTGATGTAGAAGAGACGTGTGCAAACACACACATGCACATGCACTCATGGGGGTTGCTGCCGGCAAGACTAGTCACCTGCAAGGCCACCTGGTGTGCTGCCTCCACGGGCCCTCCCCCAGTGCATAACAGTGTGCACTCTGCAAAAAAGCAGCCCTACACCCCAGTGCAAGGCCCTTTTCTCCATCCAGGGCTTCCTAAGGGAGCTTAGAGCCTCTGCTGTATCACAAACTTGAGCAAGAAGCCACAGGAGAGGAGCCAGCAAGGTGGGTGGTCCCTGGGCCAGGCAGGGCTCGGGGATGGTGTCTGGTGTAGACGGATGCCAGCACCTCTTTTAAAGTGTTCAGACTTTATTTCACGGTGACTGACACAGACACAGACTGGAGTTAGTAACATGACATACGGGGTTCCCTCCAGCCTTTGGGCTCAATGGCCCATTCCCAGCTGTGGGAGGGTTAGGGCTGCCACCCCCACAGGAAGACAGGGTGTGTGGGGGGGCAGGTGGGATGGGGTGTAATATTGCAGTTTTCTCTGCTGCCTCTACACCCACCCCTTGGCCTTGGCCTTGGTCTTGGACAACGACACCCCTCACACCAGAACCAGAGAGAGAGTTTGCTGTATGGTGTGCTCAGCTGCCCTTGGGCCAGGACAGGAGGGATGATGGCCCTGTCACCCCAGGGATCAACTAAAATCAATGCAGAAAGGTTGGTGGTCAGGCCCAGACATCCACCCTTGAGAGGGGGTGCCAGCTACCCAAGCAAGGAGGCAGTGGGCATCCACCGCATCCCACAGCAGCCCTGCTCCCTCTTAGGACTGCTAATGAGAGCTGGGGTATCAGAGGGGGCACAGCTATGTCCAGGGTGGCTGGGTAGACAGGCAGGGCTAGCGAAGGGCCAAGGTGCCCTGACCGGGCCTGGGCCTGGCCTCTGTTCTCCAGCGCTCTGGGACTGGTGGACACGGTTGAAGGGAGGGGTACAGTAGAGCCCCGACAATAACATTGCTGTGAAGTCACCACATTGGCACAGGAGGCCTGGGAGGGGCCAGTCTGGGCTCGAGGCTAGCCCTGGCCTACAGCAGACCCAGGGGGGAGGAGCAGCTCAAGTGGGAACCCAGAAAGGCCCCTGAGGGCTTGCATGGAGGAAGGGCCCCCTCAAGCCCCAGCAGTGCCTTCCTGCTCTGGGGACACAGGCCCAGCACGGGTGGACACACGGGGGAGGCACAGCACGAGGGGCCGAGACACAGTGGCCCAAGGCAGAGGGACACATCCTGAAGCTGCCGCTGGAGTCAAGCCCTCCATGCTGCCCGTGTCATCTCCCCCTGCAAGTCCCGTGACACAGAGTTTATCTCTGTAGCTTGTCTGCTTGGACGGTAGGGAGGCTGGTCCAGTAGTCCCTCTGGCCAACACATAGGCAAGAAAACCATATCAAAAAAGCCATGAGTTTACAAAAATAGAAAATAATGACAACAGGGTGGGTGGTGGGCTGTGGTGTGTCTCATGGGGTGGCGCAGGGCTGAAGCTCCGGCTTGGTGACAGCATCCTCCAGCAGGTGCAGCGGGCGCTGACCCACCACCACGTCCCGCAGACAGCCCACAAAGCCTGTGCTGTAGGCCTTGGGCAGGGCCTGGCCCGTGGGCAGCTTCTCCAGGCCACCTGCAGGAAGACAGAAGGAAGGCCACCGGCTGTGACTCAGGGATGGGCAATCCGGGGCACTAGCCAGCAGAGAGACCCACAGGTACTTGAGAGACCAAGTGAGTTACCTGAAGCCTGTCAGTGCCCTGGGGGGAGGGGGAGACCACGTGACCAGGAGACATGCTCCGGCCTCCTGGCCCCACAGTCACCCAGGGAAGAGCGGGGCCTAAGACAGGAGGGGACAGGGCCCTACCCTGGCCAGCTGCGCTGCTGTCCTGGACGGGGTGACTCAGGTGGCACTCCCAGTTTGCAGCCCCAGGGGACAGGGTCTGTCCCTCAGAGATTCTGAGACCCTTGGATACCCCTCCCCTGGCCTTCCCCCAAACACTCACCCAGCCATAGGGCTCCGTCTGTGTCTAGCTGTGTGGCACCCAGTGGGGAAGAGCCAGTCACAGGGGCCTCGTTGCCCACCTGAAGGGAACCTTCCCTCTGTTCCCTGGGGGTGGGGTGGGATGAGGCCATCATCAGGTGGTTCCACAGGCACCGCTGCCACCCCCAGATCCTGAGCCCCACATCCCTCCCAGAAGTCCCACCCTGGGGCCCACCACCATCACGCCTGGGGGCCAGAATAAGGTGGCACTGATGCCCAGGAGAGCACTCGGTGGCTAGGGCAGGGGGAACTCACGTGGGTTAAACTTTGCTGTAGGGGGTGACCAGGCTCAGACGCCATGGACAGGTCTCCAAATAGCGTGCGGGCAGAGCAAGGACTCCCTTTTCAGATCAGGAAGTCCCTGGCCATAACTGCTTCTCCTTTGTCCTCTTGTCCCTCCCCCATCACTGGCAGTGGCTCGAGTCGGGCACTTCGCCCTGCCCCCACCTCAAACCTGGGCCCTAGCTACAAGTGACCGGGCACGCCCTGGCTGGGCAAGTCCAGGCACCACCCGCCGCTATTCTTGGTGTGCCCTGGGCTCCCCACTGACCTATGTGCCCTGACCCGCAACCAGCGGTTGGTGTTGACCGGCACGGTGGAGTGTAGCACCACGGGCTGGGAGCCCAAGTCATAGGTCAGCTGCAGGCGCCCATCCACGATGGCCAGCGCGAGGTAGTCCGCCCGCTCCGTGGCCTTGCCACTCCACAGCACCAGCCCCTGGGTGGCCTCCGTGCGCAGACTCAGCTCAAAGTGGTTGCCCTGCAGGGCCTTCTCACTGCGGGGTAGAGAGCCGGTCAGGGCCTCCAGGAGGGCAGCCAGGGACGGCGTGCGGGTGGTGGGAGGGCAAGGGCCATGACGGCAGCTGTGATGAGACCCGGGGAGACTGGATGGGCAGGTGGGTGGACACCCACATGGGACAGATCGGCCGAGAGATGGATGGTAGGAGGTGGGAGCAGACGGCGGACACACGGGCGGGCGAATGAAGCAGACAGACAGCGGGGGTTGGGTGCCACTGCTCACCTGGGAAGGGCCCCGGAATCCGGAGCATCAGGACTTAGAAGCCGGAAGAGAGGGGAAGCAGGTGAGCAGGGGACAGACAGGCTGTAGTGTAGGGTCGGAGGGTGGGGGTACCCGGCAGCCCTTCCCCACGTCCCCTTTCCAGCAATGGAGAGTGAGAGAGCAAGCACCCACAGAAGATACACAGGACCGCGGGGCACGACATGTGTGTATCCACAGGGCCGGTGGGCATGACCCGGGCCAAGTGAAGAGATCGAGAGGCGAAGCGGAGGGCTCGCCTGCCTGGGAGAGGCCCCTGGACGTCTGAACACACGTGTGCATGTGGGTACACACGCACGCACATGACATACATGTGCACGCACACAGACGCACGTGCGTCCACACGCTCAGACACGCCCGCACGCTAATGCACGCCTGCACACACGCACACACGCAATGCTGGTGCCTCGTGTCGAGGCAGGGGCTCCGGGGGGCATGGGGTGACGGCTCCCCGCTCCCAAGCTAGGAAACTAAGCCTCACAGCGCACAGACAAACCCCTAAGCCCACTCTCCTCCACCAGGGTGGGAAGTTTCGCCCTCCGTGGGAGTGGGGGTGAGGCTCAGGATGTGCTGCCGTGGATGAGGAGCTGAGAATGGCGGAGAGTGAAGGTGGGGGTGGGGGCCGAGGTGCTACTTACGCTGGGATCTCATTGGTCAGTTCGCTTGGAAACAAAGAGACAGAGGTGGTGAGAAGGAAGGAGGGTGGAGGTGGGTGGTGGGCCGGCCGAGCTGGGTGGACCCTGCGCCTTCCCCTCCCGGCCACAAAGCAGAGGGTGGGTGTGGAGGGTCCGGTGTCTTACCCTGCACAGCATGCACAGATAGGGCCAGACAGACGGTAGAGGGTGGAGGGGGCGCCCAACTCCCAGGTGGCATGTTACCTCTCAGTCACAGCATTGAGGTATTCGATGTAGGTTTGTCCATCAAAGGCCAGGGCGTCCACATCCCCTGCTGACTTCTCAATCAGCCCTGAGAGATAGTGGGGGTGAGGGCTGCCTCGGGTGGGGCTCCAGCCCAGCCAGCCTCAGCCAGATGCCGGGCACCGCTCACCCTTCTTACCCTTCTCGCAGTGAAGCCCGGAGAAGCCCCCGGGACACAGGCACTCGTAGGAGGCCTCCCGAGGGAGGCAGGAGGCCCCATTGAGGCACGGGTGGCCTGAGGCCTGGGTACAAGGGTGGTGGGCAAAAGACGAGACATCCACGGACCGAACCACGTGCTCCTGGGTCAGCAGCTCCTGGCCTTTCAAGGAGACCTGGGAGCATAAGAGGTAGAGAACCTTTGTCTGGCCTGCTGTCCTCCCTACCACAGTAGCCCCCACCCCAGGACAGAGGTCCCTCTGGGATGGGCCCTCCCTTGAGACTCTACCACCCCTGACCCTGCAGAGAGCCCCTGGCTGGGATGGGCCCCACCCCTGCCCCAGGTACCCGCTGGATGACGCCGTCGAAGCCGGAGGACACTGCGGCTGCCCGGGCCAGCTTGCTGAAGTCAGGGGCCCCTCCCACATAGAGCGGCTCCTTCAGATTGAGGACAGTGTGTGGCACCTGGGGGGAGAGGCCGGGTGAGGGGGCTGTGGAGCCTGCTCACTGGGCAGAGACAAGGATGCTGGGCCCCAGATCAGCGGCCCCACTGGCCTGCAGGGGCCCACCCCTCGCCCACCAGCCTATCTAGGAGGCAGAGTTAATCACACAAACATGGCCAATGTGGAGACTTAGTGGGGGCAGGAGCTACTCTAGAAGATGAATGAATAGAATGAGAGCAGAGACTGGTACCTTGCGGGATTTCTGACGTCCGAAGAGCAGGGTGGGGGTTGCAGAGCAAGGGCCAGAGAGCAGTGGGGGCAGAGAGCAGACAGACAGACAGAGGCACAGGACAGACGGGGGAGAAAACAGTTCAGTGAGAGCCAGCTGTGGGGTGGGGGCTGCCGTGCCTCCCAGGAGGAGAGGGAGGAGGAAGGAGGCAGGGGAGTTGGTGGGAGGCCCACGGCCTTGGGGACACTCACCGGGGACTCCCCCAGCACGCGCGGCCCGTCACTGACCCGCATGGCGCCCTTGCGGCCGTTGCGCTCCAGTAAGACCCTGGTCCAGGTGTCCAGGGCCACTGGCTCCTTGCTCCTGGCGAGCAGGGGGTGCCATGAGCAGGTTCTGGGCCCTGCCAGAGTGCCCACCCAGGAGCCTGGGTGACACAGCCAAGTGCCCCCAGCCCCACCCCATGCCCACAGGTGAGGGCGCACCTGATGACCGCCGCCCCCTTGCCCAGGTCGTAGCGGAACTCCAGGAAGCGGTCACGCAAGGCCAAGGACACGAAGTCCCCCTTGCCGTCTGTCTTCTGCCCGTTGAAGAGGAGCAGGCCGTTGGGGCCACGTGCCAAGAACACCACCTCCAGTACCATTTTCTCCCTGGGGGTCCGGTGTGGTCAGGTGGGGGCCTCTCAACGGCCCCTTACCCCACAGGCTGGACAGGGGTTGGGGGGATGCTTCCCCTCATCCCCCGCCTCTGTCCTACTGACCCTAGGTCCCGGTCAAAGGTGTGCAAGCCTTTCAGCTCCAGGTAGGAGAAGCCGCTGAAGTCAGCCAGGAAGGGCTGGGAATGATCCCGCTCAGAGACTGTGGAGGACAAGACAGCAGTCACATGGGAGGGCCGGGCCCTGACCCCTGGGGTTCCCTGTAACTCCACTGACCTGCCAGCCCCAGGCTGAACTCAAGCCCTAACGCTAGCCTGAACCCCGATCCTAACCCCAACCAGAACCCACACCCTAATGCTTAACCCCGACTTCCTCATCCCCACTCTCCTCCCTGTACTGACAGCCCAATGCCCCCACCTGTCTGGCAGATGGTGCCCCCCCGTCCCTGGGGGCATTCGCACTTGGCCTCCCCCTCAGGCAACACGCGGCAGGGGGCTGCCCCATGGCAGGGGTTGGGCTCACAGGGGTTCTTGTCAACGCTACAGGTTGGACCTGGAAGGAGACACGATGGGGTCCCATGCCCACAGACACACAGGCATGCCCCCCACCCCTGCGCCCAGCCCAGGCTCCACCCTCACCAAAGCGGCCAGGTGGGCACTGACAGTGGAACATGCCAGCCTCCAGGGCCTGGCACGGGGCCCCGCCGAGGCAGGGGTTGGGCAGGCAGGGGTGGTCCCCGCACTCGCCCACACCGGAGCTTCGGGTTACAGCCCCCTGCCAGCTGCTGAGCTCCAACCGCTGATTATTGACGTCCAGCAGGCGGATGCAGCCCCTGAGGCCAACACGAATGGAGGTCCTTTCGAGCACCCTGCCACCAGGAGGAGGGTCAGGCACCAGAGGCCAGAAACCACAGGCCCCCTCTTACAGCCAGCTCTAACACTGCACCCCCAACCAGCCAGGATCAGGGCTGCTCCCCACTTTTGGTGCCCCCAGGATGGCCAGTCCCACAAACAGGACAGAACCAAGAAGTGGGTTGAGGGTCAAGGCTCAGGACTGAAGGTCAGGGCCAGCCCAGCCCCTCCTTGGTGGTAACACGGCAGCCTGGGGCTGAGGGATGCCACCCAGGAGACAGAATCAGGATTGGGATCAAATCAGGGTCACTGCCATCATCCACACTCATCCTTGCACCCACTCTGCGATTCAGAAGTCGCTTGGGCCTCCTGGATGCCGCCCACAAGAGTCGGGGGTCAGGACCAAGGTCAGGGGCCCAGGGTCTGGGGTGCCCCACCCTCCTTGGTGCTCACACGGCAGCCTGGTCCGCCGGGACGCCGCCCACAAAGAGGTCTGTGTCCAGGTTGAGACCATCAGTCCCGCTGGGGCTATGGCCCAGAACAGGGGTCTCCCCATCCACTGAGAGCGAGCCCCGGCGCCAATGCCGAGACAGCTCCAAGCGGTACCAGCGGCCGGGCTCTATGGGCACCAAGCTGGTCAGCACTGCGGGCCCTGAGCCGGTGTCAAACCTGGGGGATGGGAGCAGGCCCTCAGGACAGCCGGAGGGGCCCAGGACCACCGCCCAACCTCAGCCTCCCGCCCCCACCCCTCACCCGCCTTGGCCCCGTTCCTGACCGCCCCCTCCCCCACAGCCCCCTCCGCCTGGCCCGCCCTGGCCACTCACCAGAGCTGCACACGGCCCCCCAGCAGAGTCAGTGCCAGGAAGTCCTTGCCCCGGGCATTGCCGTTATAGAGTAGGAGTCCCTGGGGCTCTAGTGCCCGGAACTCCAGTGCCAGGCGCAGTGTGTGGTAGGCACGGAGGGTGGGGAAGGCCAGGAAGGAGTGGCCCCCGAAGGCTGGCACAGAGGGGTGCAGTGCTGCAGGGGGACAGGGAGGGACCCGCTGGAGGGGCACGGAGGAGCCCGGCCCCGCTCGGGGTTCTCCTCCAGCCTGAAAGCCCCAGCCCTGAATCCCCAAGCTGGCCCCGGCCCCAGCTCTGGGGCAGGGAATCCAACCTGCCCCTCACCCCAACCTGGGCCCCCTCTGCCCAGTCCCCAGCTCTCCACCGTGGCTTGGCCTGGCCTGGCCCCGACCCTTGCCCCCTCCCCTCCATCTGCCTCCCTGCCTCTCTCCGGCATGGATGACCTTTACCCTTCTCGCAGACGGCACCCCTCCTGCCCACTGGGCAGCTGCAGGTGAAGCCTCCAGCCGAGTCCTGGTCCTGGCAGGTTCCCCCGTGGAGGCAGGGCTGGGAGTCACAGGGCTTCGGCGGCTGCTGGGGGCCTGAGGGCAAGGGCCGGCGTCCAGGCACGCGACGGGGGGCAGTGGTGGGGGGCTGGCGTGTGGTGGGCAGGGCCGTGGTCCTGCCAACAGGCCGGCTTGTGTGGCTGGGGTGGAGGGCCCGCTGGGTCACAGCAGAAGGCACGTGGGCCATAGTGGTCGCTCTGGCCGTGGCTGCAGCAGCCGCAGCTCCTGTGGTGGCTCCCAGGAAGAACGCGGGAAACCAGTCTGAGGGTAGAGAGACAGTCAGGGCCCCCAGAAAGCAGAGCACAGGGAGGGCCAGCCGGGGCAGGGGTCCTGTGGGTAGCGGGGGAGGGCAGGCTAGCTGCAGCACGTGGCCAGACTGGGCACTCACCAAAGTCCATAAAGCGTACGTGCTCCTGCAGGGGCCGCCGCACCCCCAGGGACCGGCGCCGGGACGCCTGTATCTGCCGGAGCAGGGCCTGGCCCACATCAGACGCCCTAAAGGTTGTGGCTGAGAAGGAGGGGACACGGAGCATGGGGGAGCCCCGCACAGACGCCTACCGCCTCCTGGGAGGGCCGGGGGTAGGGGACTCACCAGGGTCGAAGTGCACGTCCACAATGGCTCGGACTGAGCTGCCAGGCCCCAAGTCCCGCAGGCGGACACTTCGGAAGTCCTTCTTAACATCTGAGTTCCGGAAGAGGTCATCCAGCTGTGGGTGGGCAGTGGTGAGGGCTCTGGGGAGCTGCCCAGGCCAGGCTGTCAGGCCCTCCCTCTCCAGCACCTCTCTGGGCCTGTCCTGGGGGGGAAGCCAGTGGCTGGGCAGGGCCGCACCCCTGCCCTGTGGGCCCTGCACGTACTGTGCTCTCGATGCTCCTAGCGGTCTCCCCAAAAAGCTCTGACTTGGGGTCGGCCATCTCCGGTGTGTAGAACAGCTCTTGCCCCTCGACCCCCTCAAGCTCCAGCACACCCTGGAACGCCTTGGTGGCTGTGGGGGAGGGGGCAGTGAGGCCCTGCCCGGCACCTGCCTGGCCTCTGGGTGGGCCACAGGCACAGACCCCAGCAGCAAGCCACACGGGGTGCAGGGCAGGTTAGTCAGATGGTCATGAGGTTAGTGGGGTCTTGGGGTGGGGCCGGTATCAGTTACCAGACGTCTTGGAGCAGAGCTCCAGGCCGGCTTGCAACAGGAAAGACAAGTTAGCTGCAGGGCCTGGGCACCCACACGTGTGCATGCCCATGCTGAATGCCCAAGACCACGCACGTGCGTGTGCCAAAATCAGAAAACCGTAAGCCCTGAGTGCCCACCTGCCGGGCAGGCCTCCTCCCTGGGAGGGGAGACAGCGTTCCTGGCGTGTCCAGGCCACGGTTCACGTGCCACCCCAGCCACCGGCTACCCACTCACCAGGACAGTTGGAACCCTCTGTGTCCAGCGAGGGCGTCTTGCCGTCTGAGCAGCAGCCCAAAGGTGCGTTGTAGCAAGAAGCCCTCTCCACGGGTGGCCCAGGGGTCGCAGCACTGCCACCGTCAGGGGGCTCGAGTCCTGGGGAGGTGCAGTCTAAGCCTGGCCCGAGAGGTAGCCTCCCTGGGCCCCGTCCCGCACATCCCTGAGCCCATGCTCACCCCCTGAGCCAGTCCCACTGGCCTCCAGGTCACCGCTCAGTCCCTCATCACCGCTCCCGTCAGCACTGCCAGATTCGCCAAAGGCCGACGTGGTGAGGCTGGCCGTGGCAGCGGCCGTGGGGGGCATGGTCAGCACGGGCCTCGGGGTCGTCCTGGGGATGCCGGCAGGGGTCCACGGCCCCGGTGAGGGTCGAGGCGTGGGCTGGCTGGGAGGGGTACTGCTGGGAGCCCGGGGCAGGGCGCCGGGGGGGGATGGCAGCGCCTTGCTCACGTTGAGCCCTGACGTGGCCACGGGTCCAGGTGTTGGGGGTGCACCAGGACCAGCAGCCTCTGCAGGAGGAACAGAGTCTGAGTGGAGGGCCAGGTCAGGCAGTCAGCCCAGAGTCAGGCCCTCTCGGTCAGCTCTCAGGCGGTGGGTGGGGCCTTACCCCGGCACGGGCCAAGGCTCTGGATGGAGATGTCCAAGCCCTGGCGGCAGGCGATGGTCCTCAGCTGGCACTCGTTGCCGTAGGTCACTCCGTCCGACCCACAGACCTGGGCACAGGGCAAGGTTGCTGGGGGGAGGCCCCTCCCCACCCCACCGCCCTCCACATGCCCCAGCCCTCACCTTGGTAGCATTGGCCTCCGGACAGGTGGATGTTGGGCACACACAATGTGCGGAGCCAGCCTCCTCCACACAGGACGCCCCAAACTCACAGCGCATCTCAGCACACGTCTCAGGCGCCAAGGAATCTGGGGTAGACATGGCAGACCCTGCTGGCTCCAGAGGCCTCACCCCTATGATGGCCCCACCCCTGGCACGGGGAGCCAAGGTCAGCACCAGGCTTGGCTCTCACCTGTTTCACAGCCTCCGGGGCCCAGGGCGTGGCCTTCTGGACACTGCCCGCACTTGGGCCCGGCCACCCCGGGCTTACATGAGCACAGCCCGGTCATCTGCTCACAGTCGTCCCGCACCGCGCCCCGGGGGTCACAGCTGCAGGCTGGGAGGCAGGGGGAAGAACCTGAGCTCTGCGCCTGGCCTCCCCACGGGCTCCAGGGCCCGGCCCAGTTCCTGCCTGGTGTGGGTCAGGCCAGGGTCTGAGCAGGTGAGACAAGGAGCAGGTGACAAGACGGACAGGTGCGAGTGCTCGGCTGGGGACTGACCATGGCCCCTGTCACTCACGGGTGCAGCCGCTCCGGCCATCGGTGACAATGCCACGGAAGTTCCAGAAGCCAGGCTCACAGCGGTCACACTTGAGGCCCCCGACGCCCGGGCGGCAGGAGCACTGACCCGTGGCTGGGTCACAGGTACCACTGTAGGACCCATGCGGGTTGCAATGGCAGGAGCCTGCAAGGCCAGGGCGGGTAGGGTCACGGCAACCACACGGCCCCACCGGGCTGCGGGCTGGGGCTGGGCGTGAGTACTCACTGGGGCAGCCGGCCAGGCCCACACCGCGGGCCGCAGTGATGTTGTCCTGGCAGCAGCCGTAGGGGGTCTGGGTGCAGTGTGGGGGTGCTGCGGGTGGCAGTGGGGCCAAGGTGGGGCCTGCAGGGAGGGGGACACGCAGTGCCACATGTCCACCTTGGGCCTGGCCACTCCACCACAACCTCCCCTGGCTGTCGGGCCCTGGTACCTGGAGCTTGGGTCACAGGCGAGGACCCTACACCACTTACAAAACACATCTGTCACGTAGTGCCGAAAACACGCAGAACACCCAAAGATGGCGAACACGCCGCCGCGCACGTACACATACGACCAGGACCAAGTGTGCTTGGTTAGTATGTTTTTACAAGCTGGCCCACACACATACAAAACACACACGTAGACCCATCGGCCCCTGTTCCTCCCCAACCGCACACGTCAAACACACCCACAGACCCACGTGTGTGTGCACGCATAAGTCCACATACCCACGCACACGTGGAAGTCTAGTAAATGCAGCGATCTGCTGGGCCGCCACCCGGGCCCCCCCGAAGAAAGAGTGTCCGGAGGGAAGGCCTCGCCGGTGCACGAAGCCCGGTGCTTCACGCACCCCTGCTGCTCGGAGGCACTCGTTCCCACAGCTTGTAGCCGCACGAACACGCACTGCGCTCCTCGAGCCCACGTGCTCCCCGCCCCCACGGCACACATGAACCCCGAGAAGGAGAGACGCACGCGGGCACAAGGCCCACTCACCGCGGCAGGCGCCCTGGGCCGTGACGTACAGTTCTCGCTGCGACTCACACCGGGCCTTCTTCAGCTCACACTCGGTGCCATAGGTGACCCCATCTGAGCCACACACCTGGAGGGGCGGTGTCAGCGTGGGCGGCCACAGCCACCTCCTCGCCGCCCGCCCAGAGCGGGGGAGGTGGGGGCTCACCGGGCTCCGCGGGGCGCCGTGGCAGCTGAAGTCACAGACGCACGGCCCATCCTCCGAGTCCTCGTCCCAGACGCCGCCTCGCTGCCGGCACAGCTCCTGCTCACACTCTCCGTCCTCTCCGGAGCCGGAGCCCCCCGAGCCGCACTCAGCTGAGGGGAGGGGGCCGGGTCACCCGCGGGGTCCTGTCCGAGGCCGGCGCGCAGAGCCCAGGCCGGCGCCCCCAGCCTACCCTGCTCACAGGGCCCCGCCTGGGCCTCCTGGATGTGCGTCTGCTGCCGGCAGGCTGCCTCCCGGAGCTGACAGGCGCTGTCGTAGGTGACGCCGTCGCTGCCGCACACGGGGCCAGGTGGGGGCCGCTCGCACCGGGGACACACGCACCGCCCGGCCGAGCACACGGCCCCAAAGGCGCACACCGTGTCCCCGCAGGCCTCTGGGGGGCAGAGCCAGGCGGGGGTCAGGGCAGCCCCGGCGAGGGCGGCGCAGGGCCCCACCTGCCCCGCCCCACAGCCCCACTCACGGCAGTGCCCGGCTGAGACCACATGCAGGCTGATCTGCCGCGTGCAGGCGTGGACGTGCAGCTCACACTCGCTGGCGTACGTGTGCCCGTCGGAACCGCACACGGGCTGAGCCGAGGCCACGCACTCGGAGGGGCACACGCAGCGCCCGCTCTCGGCCTCACACAGAGCTCCAAAGCGGCACTGCCCGCAGCGGTCTGAGGAAGAGGCCCCATCAGCGTGGCAGTCAGGACTGGCCACCCCCGGCACGGCTCACTTGCCCACCACTGACCACAGGGTCCTCTGCGGGCCACCCGGATCTCCCGTCCCAGGGCGCAGGCCGTGGCCTCCAGCTCGCACGGGCTGCCGTACGTGACGCCGTCGCTGCCACATACAGGGTCGTAGACGCCCGAACACGCCTGCAGGCACACGCACTCCGCTTCGCCGTTCTTCACAGCACACGACGCCCCAAACGGGCACTGCACCCCAAGGCACGGGGACAGGGGCTGGTCTGGGGAGAACAGGGCACTCAGGGGGCTCTTCCTGCTCCCCCAGGCTCACGCACAAAGCCCCCAGCTCCACGCAGCAGACCCTCCCCCAGGGTGGGGGCAGCAGAGGGAAAGTGGACGGGGAGAAGAGCCGAATGCTCGGGACACAGCAGAGAAAGGGACAGACACACGACGGACGCAGACAGGGACACAGACCCCAGCAGCCTCGGCCCCCTGCCCGGGTGCGGGGAGGGGCTGCCCCCACGACACAGGACTTCCCCACAGCGGGCTGAGGGAGGGCCAGGCTTCTGCAGCCACCCAGGCCACTGACCACTGGCTACCAGCAGCCCTGGGACACCCGAACGTGTAGGGGGGGCTCTCTCCCGGTGGGGGGGAGGAGTCGTGGCCCGCGGTCACACCCAGGGCCACCAAGGGGAGGAGTTGTCTGTCCACTTGCTCTGAGGACCGCAAGGCCAGGCAGCAGCGAGCCAACCCCCCCGCTGAGCTGGGGGCAGACCTCGGGCCGTGGGCTCCTGGCGGCAGGCGCGGTACCTCATCCTGCCAGTAGGTCAGGCTGGAAGACACAAGAGGCGGAGCAGAGAGGGAAGGAAGGACAGAGAAGAAAATACAGACGCAGAGAGAGAGGTGGAAGGACGGACAGACCGACCGATGGACGGACACACAGTGGGGGGCTGGCAGAGCCACCGCACGCCCCATCCCCACACTGAGCCTGACTGAGACTTTGCCTCTGTGGGGGCCCTGGCGTCCCCAGAGTGGGGGGCCCAGGGGCCTGGAGGCTGATGGGGCAAGACGGCCTCATGCGGGCACCGGGGAGCCTGCACAAGGACCCCCGTCTCTGCCAGGCCCCCCGGGTGCTGCAGGCACCCCCTAACAGAACCCACTGCCCCAGAGCCTGCGGATGCACAGCAGCCCTGCGGCCTCCCCAGGGCCCCAGGAGAAGCATGAGTCAGGATGGAGATGGTAAGTGATAACAGGCAGCAGGGAGCGACGCAGGGCCGGCCCGCGGCCGGCACGGGCGGCCCCCGCCCCGGTGCTCACCACACAGGCCCTGGTGCTTGGCAGGGACGGCACGCTGCTGCTGACACTCAGCCCGCTGGCGCCAGCAGTCGCTGTCATACGTGTGCCCGTCGAGCGCGCACACGGGCCGGTAAGCCCCGTCACAGACGACGCGGTCGCAGGAGCAGCGGGCACGGCCTCGGCGGGACAGGCACACGGCACCGAACCTGCACACGTCTGCGCACTGGTCTGGGAGGGCGAAGCAAGGAGATCAGACAGCCCCCACCTCGGGGCTCACAGGGCGTCCACGGGCGCACGGGGTGGCGAGTGGGCGCCGGGGAGGAGCTCAGGCAGGCCCGGAGCTCACACTGCGTGGCAGGGCTGGGCCTCCTCCAGGAGCCACCCACCTTGAGGCTGGCACCGGCCAGAGCGCACTTTCTGGAGGAGAAGGCCGCGGGCAGCGCCCGTGCGGCCCATTATGCAGTCATTGTCGTAGGTGACCCCGTCATCCCCGCACACGGGTGCGTGCCGAGGAGGACAGCTCTCCGGCCGCAGGAGCATCTCGGGGCGCCGCGTGCGTGGGTTCACGCGGCAGACACGGCTCAGGTCACCGCGGGCACCCTGGCAGGGGTCTAGAAGGTGGAGGGCAGAGGTCAGGGCGCGGGGCCAGGCGGGCACGCACACGCAGAGGCCGTGCATTGTGCAGGGGGCACCGCTCACCACAGGGGCCGTCGAACTTCTTGAAGACGTTCTCCTGGCGGGCGCACGCGTGGCGCAGGAGCTGGCACTCGCTGGGGTAGTCCGCCCCGTCGCTGCCGCACACGGGGCCATCGGGGGGCCCCTGGCAGGTGGCTGGGCACAGGCACGTGGCCGTGTGCCCGTCTGCTGAGCGCACACAGGTGCTGCCAAAGCTGCACGTCACGTTGGAGCAGGGGTCCCGGGACCCTGGAGGGGCAGGCTGGGGTCACGAAGCCGTCCCCCCGCCCTCCGGGTGCCCGCCTGTGCCCGCACTCACCGCAGGGCCCTCGGCTGAGTAGGCGGATGCGGCGCTGCCGGCTACACTGTGCCCGCCGCAGCTCGCACTCGCTGCTGTAGGTGGAGGCGTCGGAACCGCACACGGGGGCCACCAGGGCGGGGCAGGCGCTCTTCCTGCACACGCAGGAGGCTCGGCCGGAGCCCTCTGCGCTGGGCTGGCACACGGCGCCGAAGCCACACAGCATTCCTCGGCATGCTGGGTGAGGCAGGAGAAGGGAAGGTCAGGGCCCAGCCCGCTTGCCCCCGTCCCTGTGTCCACACAGCTGCCGAGACCTCGAGATGCACTCTCCGTGTTCGTCCACTAACCCCAGGGACACCTCCACCCACGCCGCGCATGGCCACACATTCTGTGCCGGGCACTCGCAGGAACATGTGTGTGCCCACCGAGGCCACGGCCACACGCCCCTGCCTGCGCATGCTGACGGCCCGGCCCCTTCCCCTCTCAAACCCCGCCAGCCCCAGCACTTCTGCTCATGGCAGAAGCTGCTCAGCTGTGGAGTGGGTCGTCTCCCAGATGGTGCACCAGCACCAGGGAGTCAGGAGCCCCCCCAACAGAGCAAGAAACCAACCCTCAGGCCAACTCTATCGCAGGGACCTGCCCCACCTTGCTTAGGGGCCCACCCTCTCCTCAAATCAGAATCAAAGCCCCTCATCCGACCCCTGACCTACGCCCCCAGAGCCCTGGCCCCGGCTCCTTCCTGGGAGCTGCTCCAGGGTCCAACACCAGCCCCACCCCCACCACCTCTGGTCTGAGGTCAGACGCTTGTAGAGCAGATGGGTGGGTGGTCTGTGGATCCAGGTCACATGCTCCACCTCTGGCTCTGGGCCCCCCCTCGGTACCCTAACCCCAGGCCTCCCCCCATGTTCCTCTTTTCTTCCCACATCTTTTCTATGTGGGCCCTGCCTCTTGGGGCTTTTCTCTGCCTGGCCCCCTCACCTCCTGCATCTCCCCCAGGTCCCTCAGCTGTGGCTTTCTTGATGTGGCCTTCTTGAACGTTCCTGGTCCTCCAGCCCTCCCAGGTCTCCCCAAGTGAAAGCTGATGGGGCATCTCTCTCTGAGGCCCCTCAGGCTCTCACATGCCTCCACCTCCCCACCTATCCTCCGGAGCCCCCACCTCAGTAAATGTCCTCACCTCCCCACACCTCCTCCCCAGTCCTGCTGCCCCACCTCACACTCAAGAGCGACCTCCTCTGGGAGGCTGAGCACAGGGGCTCCGCAGACCCGTCATTTTCCTCTAAACATTTTAGTTTCTAACTCTGCAGTTAAAAACTGCCGCGTGCCCAGCACATCCCAAGGAAGTGGCTGCTCTTGACCCCCACTGGTGAGGGACCACAGTCCTGCGGATTGGAGAAATGCGGAAGGCTCTCAGACATTTAAACCCAGAGCTGTCAGGGATAGCCGCTCCTGAAGAGAGGAAGGCTGACTCCTTAGGACCCCCACCAGGACTGCACACCCACAGGCGCGTGGGCCCATTACAGGCTGCAGCTGTCTACATCTAATACATGTTTAATTGGGTCTAATTATCATTAATAAGTTATGGTGGAGAGGGCGGGGTGGCTCCCCCCATTGCCTCCCAGCAGGCTCAGGAAGTGGGGCAGGAGGGAGAAAGCACCTCCGTCTGGGGGAGGGCAGGGCCCCAAGGGAGCTGAAGCTAGCTGTTGCCACAGCAACGACCCACCTCAGGCTCCTCCAGGTCTGATTGGCCACCCCTACCCCCACCCCACACAGGTTGAGTGAACAGGGGCCTGAGGCAAGGTTGGGCCAGTGTGGACACCCAGCCTGAAGTCCCTGCCACCAAGGCTCCTGCCTTCCTCCTCCCTAGCTCCCCTGTGTCCCTGTTCCTGCAGATCCCAGAGCCAGGCCACCACCAGCTCTGCATTCACCTGCCCGGTGAGCGTGGGCAAGTTACCGACCCATCATGCTGCAGTACCTCTTTCTGTGAGTGGGGACGGTGGGACCTACTTCCCAGGGTTACCGTGGGGCTGAGTGGGCCAATACCCGCAGAGGCTTGCAGGGTGCCCAGCATGCAGCTCTGGGCAGAGTGTCAGCTGCCCCAGTAATAACAGGAACAAGAGCTGTCATTACGTTGGTCTCCCCTCTGTCCTGGCTCAGACCAAACTCAAAGTCTGTCCACTGTGAGGCCTCTTCGTGCTTCTGTCTCCCTCCATCTCCCTCTGTCCCCCTCTCCTCTCCCCTCAGCACTTTCTTCTCGTCTTCCTTGCTCAAGGCCCCTGGGACCCCCAGGCCAAATTCACGGGCACTTGCTGATATCCAGCTGATTCCTCTATCTGGCTTAACAACTGGAGCTGCTGACCAAGGTCCCTCCCAGAGTCCTGACCCCATGGCCAAAGACTTGGTCTTTCTCTCATTACACCTCAGGCCCCTGGGCTGGTGGCAGAGTGTCTGTGCCCTTGGATTCAGGCCACTCTCCTTCTGCTCACCTCTGTCCAGCCAGACTCCTCGGACAAAGACATCTACTCCTGGATGACTAGCATGTTCCTTGCCCACCAAGACTTGCACTCTCCCTCCACAGCCCAGGGTTCTGCTTTGTCCCCCCCAAAACAAAAACTAGGGAAGGACAGTGATGATGACGATGGACAGCTAACCTGTGATAAGCGAGCCTGGAGCACTGGGTCAGGTGTATGGAAGGTGGACTGCAAGGGGAGGGGCTGGGGGCAGTAGACCAGAAACATCTTGGGGACAGGTTCCTTGGGACTAGCTGTTGGACTGAAGGTGGCTGAGGGCAGAGGAGAGGCCAGGGTGCCTCTGGGGGCCATCAAGCTGAGGCCCCCACACTGACTCCCAAGTCAGACAGGTGGGTCCAGGTCCAAGCCCTTCCACTTCCTACCACTTTGCGGAGCCTGCACCCCTGTCAGAGCGGCAGTTCCCAAGGGGCAGCCTCCTGGCTCTAAAGCGGGGGAAGATCTCATGGCTCCCAGGGCAGCTACAGCATTTGGTGACGCGACGTAGGCAAAGCAGAAGCTTGGAGTACATGGTGCTCATCCCCTGTCCAGGCTGAAATGGGTTCCTTCCCCAGAGCCACGCTCAGGCTGTGAGGTCAGGGGAGGGCTGCTCCCATGCACAGTCTTGATGCCCGCTTCACAGCTGCCTGTCTACATGTGTGCTCTCCGCTCCCCCCAGGACTAGGGAATCACCGAGGCTCAAGACGAGTTTCTTGACTGGACATAAAACATGCACAAGTACACAGGCACTCACAGGCATGCAAGCACATGCCCAGCACGTGCCAGGCACCACCAGTCTCACGCCTGTATCAGCCCTTAATCATACGTACACTGCCCCTCATAAATGCAGGGAGAGCACCCATATGCCCACGAGCCACGCGCTCTGCCACGCTTGCCCAGCTCCGACCCCTACAGGAGGCCTTCTCCGGCCACTCAGCTCCCCTGCACAGTCTTACTCCCCGCGTGCCCAGGGGCCCCCTCACAATGTGCCATGCTGGAGGCAGCAGTGGTTTTTATAGCCACCGGCTGGCGTGGGTATATTTAACTCCCCTCCTGGTCTCGACTGAGCTGGGGGATGGAATGGATGCCCCAAGCCCTGCCCGTGGCCACAAATACACAGTGTGTATGCCTCAAGGGATGATGACGGCTATGGCATGGAGCTGTCCCCCAGTGTGCAGTAGGATCAGAATGCGGGTGTGGGGGCCCACATGTGCAGCTGCAGGGAAGACCGGTAGGTATGTAAAGCAAAGGAGATGCTCCAGGCTTTTAGGCTTCAGGAGAGGAGGCTGAGGACAGTCTTTAAATCCAGACAGCCCCAGGCCTCTTGCCCACAGCCTGTGGGAGACTCAGTCTGGTCTCCAGCCCCCAGCTCACTATAGCCTCGATCCCATATATGGATAGCCTTCCATAAGTGACTTCTATGAACTTGAGCAGGTACCCACCCAGCAGGGGGCCCAGGTACTGAGCACAAAGCTGGAAGCTCTCACTGTCCTTGCCCAAGGAGAGAACCCCAAACTGCCCTTTCCTGGGGCACTAACAGCTTCATCCCCTCCCCCATCACGTTAGCTTAATTACAGCGGCCCACAGACCAGCAGGCCCCTCAGGGAGGCGAGGTCCCAGCCCACAAAGTGGGTCACGAAGGCCAACCCCAGGCTGTTCGGTCCAGGAACAGGCTCTCCAATCCCTCCTCAGTCATTGGTCCTTCATGACCCCCCACGCTCGCACATATTGTCTGACCCATCTTACAACTTGCAGGCCCCAGGACTTATTCCCAATTTTTCGGCCAAGAAGGCCAAGGCCCAGAGAAGTTGGAGCCATGCTTGTGTGCAATGGCCCATGGCCGACACAGGCTCAGGCCCAGGCCCAAGGACCCCACAGGCCCTCTGCTTGTCCACCACTGTGGACATCCCAGGAATGACCCAGGCTCCGTCATCCAGCCTCCTCTCTGCTCCAGACACACCCAATATGTCTGCTGTGCACACTCCAAGAATGGCCAAGAGTGCCACTGCCCCCTCCAGGCACGGTTTCCCAAGTACAGCCTGTCACCACCTGAGGCCGCCCCGCTCAACTCACCATCTGGAGGCGTGGGGGGCGCTGGTGTGAAGTGGGTCCCAGGTTTGTCTGGAAAAAAACCACAAATATCTAAGTTAGTCCTCTCTGAGCAGGCCTTTCCATAGCCCGTCCCTTTGCCCAGTCTGGAGGAGCCACCTCTGCCCTCCCACACCTGCCCCCTATACCAGTGCCCAACCCCATCCCTTCCTTGGCCCCACTCTGAGCCCTGAGGATTGGCCAAAGCCTGTGGGTAGTCAAAGCAGAGGCCCTTGCTTCTCTCTGCCCTTCCAGCTGTATGGTCATGGCCTGACACCTGTCAGGCAGGGTGGGGGCAGCCACCTATTCCCTAGATGAGCCCAGCCCCAGGCCCTGCCAAAGCCCCCACTTCAGTGTAGTCAGCTGCTGCATTCCTCCCCAGCTCCCAGAGAATGTTGTCTCTGCAGCTCAGGATGAGGGTCAGCCCCATAGGAGCCCAAGGATAAGCTTTGAGGGGCCCAGGGATCCAGAGAATGGCCCATCCTGTCCCCAGAAGATGCAGGTGGCCCATCTGAGCCACATCTCAGCTGGTAGCCTCTATGTGACCCTGCCTGTCCCCCAGTTCGTGGTGGCTGAGGCAGGGGAACTCAGCCAGCAGGAGGATCAGATGAGGCTGGCTCAGGACCGCAACCACCTACAGTTGTTGAGGAAAAGCAGCACCGCGAATCCCAGCGTGGAAGTGGCCAGCAGGATCAGGCAGACGTTGCAGGGGATCATAAAATATCGCACCAGCAGGGAGACCCCGCGCTGCTGCCGGGGGTCCCTCTCCAGAGGTAGCGGAGGCATGGCCCTGGGTTCCTCAGTCCCCACTCTCAGGATGTGGGGCTCCTCAAGGGGTGCCCTTGGGCCTCTTCGGGGCAACTCCTCCCATTCTGGGACCCCTAGGGCAGCTGACAGCAGCTGTGTTCTCAAAGTTCAGTGCCAGTCACTGCCCGGAGAGCACCAGGACCCCACCGCAGCCCCCGAGGCCCATAATGGGAGGTGTGCAGAATTCTCAGAAGGAAGAGGAGGAGAGACCACGGGCCAGCCAGCGGCCACCCCGTGTCCACAACCCGGTAGCCGTAGGCGCCAGTAGCTCTCCGCGGGGCCCCGGAGCCCCGTTCCCGGCCGCCCGGCTACCCTGGAGGGGCCGGTCCGAGGGGCACCGGCGCCGAGGGGAGGCGCGGCGGGGTGCCGGCGCGGAGGGTCTCCAGTCCCCGGCAGAGGCGGGAGCGGCGATGGCAGCGAGCAGCAGGAGCGCGCGCGCGCGTCGGAAGGGAGAGAAGAAAGAGCCGGCCCTCGGAGGGCCGCGCCTCGGCTCCCGCCTCTGGGCGAGCAGCGCCGGCTCGCGTCGCCCTCGCCAGGGCTGAGGCGGTGAGTGAGGGGCGAGGGGCGCCGCGGGAGGAGGGCGGGGAGCGGAGACAAAGGAAGACGCCCCCGGGGACCCCGGTGTCCGCGGGGAGTCGGGGCTCGCGGCGCAGAGGGCCGGGCGGAAGAGGACGGGAGGCGGCGGCACAAAAGGGAACGCAGGGGCAGACGAGGGCAGCAGCAGGGGTGGGGGCGCGGGATGGGGCGGGAGCCGGCGCTGGGAAAGGAACGGGGGTCGTGGGGCGGGGGGGCGCGGGGGCGCGGGGGGGAGGGGAGTGGAGGCAGGTGCTGGGGGGTGGGGGGCCGGGAACGGCGTGGGCGGAGGGAGAAAGGGTGGGGCGGGGTCAGGGGCTGGGCGGGTCCCCTCCCGCGCCCACCCGGCGGAGCTGGGCCGGACTGAGTGTGTCAGCGGCCGAGGACGCGGCGGAGGGCCGGAGGGTCATGCCGATTCCCCGCAATGGGGCTCGGGCCCGTCTGCAGGACTCCATCCTAGGCTGCGTGTGCGTGTGCTTGTGTGTGCGTGTCACCGCGTGTGCTTCTGCGGGCCCCGCCCTGGCAGTGTGCGTGTGGGGGGAAGCGTCCCCCAGGTACACGCACAGGTGGTGAGCGCGCTGGGTCCAACCCGGAGGGCGGAGGCGGAGAGACAGGCCCGCCCCCACCTAGGAGTTGATGGCAACACCTCAAACCCCCCGCGTACTTCCCACCTCCCCTGGGCACGGTGAGAAGAACATGCAAATGAGTTCCTTGTAAAGAATCGTTACGTAAATAGTCGCGGTACTCCCAGCACGGTCCCGCGAGCCTGGAGCGCCCCCAAGAGGCCACCGGGAGCGGCGGGGCCGTGACGTCACAGCCGGGCCGGGGCGCGTGGCCCACCGGGCGGGCCGGAGTCAGGCCTCTCCACGTCCCTAGCTCCTGCCGGCTTGGGGGTAGGGCGAGGGTCGTGCACCGTCCCCATCGTCCAGACCGGTCGCGTCGCACCCTCTGCAGCCAGGATCCCCTAGGTGGCCATCTCTATGACTAACGCCTTCACTCCCCTGCAGCCCCATCCCTCCACCGCCCACAGTCCTTTGGGAGGGACCCCTAAGCGCCTGCCGCCACCCCCACCACGTCTGGCCGCTTCCAGCCTGGACCTGGCCACAGGTCTTCGAGGCCCTGCAGTGACCTCTGCCTGTCCCTCTTAGAGTCGGCCAGCCCTTTCTGGAGAGACAGGGAGAGGAAGCTTGGCCTCCAAGGCACAGGGGATCCCTCTTCTCCTTGGGATCAGGGTCCACCCAGCCCCGTCCCAGGACTGCTGACCAACTCCCCACCCCAGCTGAAAAGGCGCTAATTGCCCCGCTGCCCACACCCCCATACATGCTCAGTCATGCCCATCTACACACAATCCCACACTCAACAGACCCACGGCCATCCACTCACTCAGACTCGCTGCACTCAGGCCTCCGGAGGACACTCTGCACGCTTGGTCAGCAGGTCCCCCTTTCAGCCAGACTGCTATTACCACAGTCACCAGAGCCACCCCTGGTCCCTCTGAGGTCTCGTCTCAGTCCACTTGGGAAAGAAGCACAGACCACACCCCCTTCCTGCAGTTCCTCCCTCAGGTCTGTGCGGCGGCTCTGCCCTGGCACAAGCCCTTCCTGGTGCCAACTCTCCACTCGTCCACAGTGACGGCACCTCAAAGCACCAACAGACGTCTTAGTGCTCAACTCCCACCAAGCATCCAGCTGGACTCTCCCTAAGGTCCCTCCACCCTATGCCGTATTCAGCTATGTCACAAACATGTCCCTAGAGCTCCCCACCTTCCTGGTCAGGTAGGCTCCTCCATGCTCCCCCCACAAGCTTCTGCCCGTCCCCCCACTTCCTCTGCCAGAGCAGCCACCTGCCAGCCAGCCAGGGCCCAGTTCTAGGAGGCCCATCTCCTTTGACTCCTTTCCATCCCGTGGCCAGGCACACTAGGGCCACATCCCACTCAGGGTTAGCCCATCCTGTCAGGGTCCCCCATCACCCACAGCGGAGGTCTTCAAACCTCTGAGAGCCTGGAACCTGAGGTTCTAACAAAACCTAATGAAACTTTGCAGGAAAAACCAATAAACAACGTGGTTCCCTCACCTCGCACTGCAATGGACCCAGAGCAGCAGTCCACCAAACCACCTGGACACCCTGGCCCCTGGTCAGCCTCACCTTCTCAGGGGTGCCTCCCATCCTCTACCTCACCTCATTGGACCTTGGCACTGCCCACACCATACAGATAGTGCTGGCAGCTCCCCAGGGCGCCACCCTGGCCTGGGAGCACCCAGGGCAGGGTCTGACATTGTATCTTCTTGGGGCAGGGCTTGGCTCAGAGCCCAGAGACCGTGTGGCGAGCCCAGGCGGTTCACAGTTTCCCATTTCCTTGTCACTGCAGTCCCACTGCAGCTCCACATCCCTTGGCTCAGAGAGGGCCCCATGGACAGTGCCAGGGGTCAAACCCCAGGCAATGCTCACATGCCCACACACATGGGCCCCGTCTGCCCCTGCCACAGCATCACGGGTAGGCTCTGCAGGAGGAGCGGGTAAAGGAACCAGGGTGTGGGAGGGGCATGCCCAGGGATCAGTGTGAGTCTGATCCCTGGGTGGGCTGGGGGCTGGCAGAGGGTCGTCTCTGTGGGCAAATGGGCTTGCCCTCAGATGCTCATATGGAGGGGAAGACTGGCCCGTCGGCCGACACGGGAGTGGGGCTTAGGGCCTGGCTTGGAGGAGGCGAATCCACAGGCAGCCTGTCCTTCCTGGCCCCAGTCAGAGTCTGAGCCCCCGACAGGGGCTCCAGGCCTTCAGAGAGACAAAGGGCCATTGAGGCCCCAGGCCCAGCAGGGGGAGGGGAACACAGGCTACCAGAGCTATTTTGGGATCTTCAGACTCAAAATCATTCAGCCCTGACCAGCCCGTGCAGGCGCATGCCCTAGGAAGGAACAGAGGATGTTCTGAGCCAGAAATTAGCCCCTTGGTCTCTGGGCTCACACTCAGCAACTTGTGACTACACAGATGTACACACGCACATTCAGCGTCCCAGGTGTTCCGATGCAGACACCCAAGTTTGCACTGGCACTGGCTGTTCCACACTCCTTCCTCACTCACTGGCGTGAATGCACACACACACACACACTCTCACCTTCAGGCCTCACCTCACACACATTGTCCCTCACCCACACAACGCACGTTGGGTTTGCCCCCACGTACACCCACGTGCACACATGAAGGCTCTGGTTGGGTATCTCCAGGTACTTCTTCGGACCTGAGAAGGAAGGTGGGGGATGGGGTCTGGAGAAGATGAGGTATCCAGCCCACCAGCAGCCTGATGGCCGCTTTCTTGTGCAGAGGACCCCTTCCTCACTCTGGAGGACCTGGGCCCAGCTACCCAAGAAAGAATGGGGTGGAGGTGGGGTGGCACCACCTTCCCCTTCCATAGTCACAGTGCACATGCCCACACACACCTCTAATGCTGGGGCCTCCCCTGGCCAGAGCCACCTCCAGTCTGTCTGCCCCCCCATTCTCTGGGGATCTTGAGGCGCACACCATGAGGATAGAAAACGTGGCTGCCCTGGCGTGGGTCAGTCAAGCGTAGGCTACCTAGCTGGCCCAGAGTCTCAGGCTGCCCTGGTGGGGGAGGGGAAGGGGACCAGACAGAGCAGCCCCCACCCCCAGTCCCCAGTCTCCTGGTATCTGTTCTCTAGCTGCAGCCATTCCCTCTCTCTGGGCCTCAGCAGACAATGGGCATTTCACAGCGGGAGGTTGCTGCTGGCCCAGGGCCAGCCACTGGGAAGGAGGCCACGTCAGGCCCAAGCCTCCAGTTCTCACCTCAGGTGAGGCCAGGACGTAGCCACGTTTGACTGTCGGCTGTGTGCCCACCCGCCTGGCCAGCAGGCAAGGCCCATACTTCTGCCTGTTAGTCCACGCTGCAGGGTGGTGGGATTAAATGACAGCTTTGAGGAGCAGCTCAGCAAGGCTGGATGCTTGGATGCCAGGGGCCTGAACACCGGCCTGCGCACCTGTCCCTCACTCCTTACCTATCGCCCACTGGTGTCGAGGGTCCCTCCAGCCCTGTCTCACTAGCCTGTCTGAGCTCCTCCATTGGGCAGGCTAAGTGGGTCCTGAGTCAGATAAACTGTCTGCCCACAGGGAGGTTACACTGTGGCAGAGACCTGGGTAACGAGAAGCGGGTGCACAGATCAGTAGAAAGAGCTTCCAGACGGACACAACTACAAAGTCCCAGGGGACCGCAGGAAGCCAGGTGATGCCAGCGTGGTGAGGCCTGAAGGTGACAAGGGTTAGGAGTAAGAGATGAGGAGCCAGGGGATGCAGATCCTCAGGCCTGGGGAGCCCTGGGAGAGGGAGCCCAGTTCAGGGCCTGGACACCTGCCAGGACACCGGCTATAGCCACCAGGGGGAGCCATCTGAACAGAGGAGGAGGAGAGTAGGTGCCTGGAGGAAGAAGCAGGGGTGGAGTGGGGCTGATCCGTACCCTCTGTCCCTCTTCTCCAGGACAGCCCCAACTCCACCTCTTTCTCCATCCGGCCCTGCCCATCTCCAGGAGGAAGAGAGAGCTGGGAGAGCCAGGGAGGCACCGAGGTGTGGGCAGTGCCTGGAGAATCAGGACACGCTGTGTTACTGCTGAGGGCCTGACTGTGTTGAGCTGGGCACCTTGGGGAGGCAATGAGGGATGCACACACTGGCACCGAGGCCTGAATGGGGATGCTCGATGCAGGTGATGACTGGGTGGGTGTCGGCAGACGGACGCTCACTGGGACTCGGAGGGCGGAGGTTCAGAAAACAAAGGGGCGGAGAGACAGAAACCCAGAGGAGAGAGCTGCAGACAGAAAATGGAGGCAGCCCTGGAGTCTGTAGGGGGACCTTCTCCCCAGGGGGAGAGCAATGGGACTAGCATAGAGTATGCTGTCATCAGGTGGGAAGGTGGAGGGTCCCAGGGTGAGGATCAGCCTGCTCTCTCAGCCAGCGGGTTACAGCAATTGTTTCTGGTTTTCCAGCTCGTTGTCCTGCACCATGCCCAGAGAAGCTTTCTCCCACCGCTCAGCCAAGCTACGGGGACACCTGCTGTTCCCTGTACCCGTTAGACCTTGTGCGGTCTTTTCTGGCCAGAAC